AATTCAAAATTTCCTTTCTGCATTCTCATTGGGTTGTCTGGTGTAGCGAGCTTTGGAGAACGTGATGGACGACATCGATAGGTGGCAGGATAAGCCTAAACTGAGATGTCAGGGTTGGTATGGGTAATTCACTTACAAAAATTTTAAAATTAACAGATTTACTGAACAAAACAGTAATATTACTCAAGCAAAATATAAGACAGAACATGAGATTTAAGAAGCCAGTTATGAAAATAACCACATAGTGACAAAGTGATTTTAAGCAACAACTCAGCTACATTAAGTGATCATTTTTAGGCCATTATCAGTATTTACTCCCTATCTGTAGGATGATATAGTCATGGACTCTGGACTTTGTTATTATAAGAATCATATGAAGAAGGCTTTGGAATGTATACATTTCTGGGATCCAGATTGGGTTTGTAATCCACCAGTGTGACTGAGGATGGGCTTTGGAGACATGACAGACCTGGGCTTAAATCCTTGCTCTATTACTTAGTAAGCAGTATTTCTTCAGTAAAGGACTTAACCTCTGAGTCTACATTACTTTCTCTGTGAAATGTGAGTAATAATACATACATAGCAAAGCCGACACGAGAATTGGATGAAACAATATGTACATGGAAAAGTAATTTACAGATGATAAAGTGGTACCCGGCAGAGTCTCAACAAAAAAAGGAAAACTTCAGGCCAATATCCATGATGAACATAGATGCAAAAATCTTCAATAAAAAAAAATCTTCTCTCTTCTGAGGGCAGGAGATGGCCTAGTCTTTTTTGTTCACCTTTGTACATCTTACAAACCTTGCAAGCGGAAGACCCTCTCACCACAATGCTATCAGCTGAAGTTTGAAAGATCTTTTTGTATAGGTCTTAGTCCAGGGACAAGATCATCAAAATTTTTAGAGAAACCCATTCTTTCTTTATAACCCCTTTATTTCACCATTCATTCTGTCTCTATCTCTCTTTCTATCTGTCTGTCTCCAAATTTTTTTCACCTTAGGGTTACTTCTAAGATGACATGATGACTTGAGATTTCTGTTATTGGATAATTTAAAAATGGGCTAATATTACTCATATAATTTCGGTGCTTGTATAAAGAGCAATATTTCTTAAAATATTTTCAGTAAAATTGCTTTAAATTAACTTTTTTACTACTGTTCCATCATGAATGTTAGTTCATTTTATATAAAACATTGCTTTGTTACCATTTATTGAAAATACATGTGATAGATACAATCTTTTCAGGATTGTCTTCTAAGTTTTATTCTACTTTATAGCTGATTACTGGCCTAAACCACTTGAAAAATTCAAAAAAGTTTACTGAGTACTGTGTTTTTGTATGCTTTTCAATGCAATAGGTATTTTGGAACATATATTTCTATATCTGCATGCTAAAATGTCTTTAAAGTTCGAAATATTATTCTTTTCAATAAATTAAGGGGCATTTAAAAAAGTGAATATGAAATTTCAGTGTATATTGTGAGAGTTAAGTCAGTAAGTTTCACATTTCTAGATAAAGGTTGTTAATTTAAATAGGAGACATATAATTTCTCTTTTGCTTTTTAAATTAGCAAAAATGAATAATTCTGACACCAGTGTTGGTGGAGGTGCAATAAAACAATGCTCAGAAAAACTACTGAGGGTTTTAAAAAAACTACTGGAGGGAATATAAACTTGTAAAAAAATTTTCTTGTGGGGCACTTAAAAATACTCAGATCTTTTTTTTTTTTTCGCTTTTTTTTTTTTTTTTTTTCTTTGAGACGCAGTCTCACTCTGTCATCCAGGCTGGAGTGCAGTGGTGCATTCTTGGCTCACTGCAACCTCCAACTCCCTGGTTCAAGTGATTGTCCTGCTCAGCCTCCTGAGTAGCTGGGATTACAGGCATGTGCCACCACACCCAGCTAATTTTTGTATTTTTAGTAGAGATGGGGTTTCACCATGTTGGCCAGAATGGTCTCAATCTCTTGACCTCGTGATCCACCCGCCTCTGCCTCCCAAAGTGCTGGGATTACAGGCGTGAGCCACTATGCCCGGCCAAAATACTCAGAGTTTTTAAATATTTGTACCCATTAAATAAAAATTACAGATGTAGAAAAAATGAACAATAAAGAAGTTAATCATAGAAGTGCAGAAAAATTTCCTTAGGAACTTGTTAAAATGTAAATTCTGATTAAAAGAAATGAATGGGGTTTGGAATTCTAAATTTCAATAAGCAATAAGGTAATACTGACTTTGAGTAGCTAAGGTTTATATAATTTCTTATATAATCTTTACAGAGTTCTTTGCTTAGTGAGTTTATATAGTCTTTATATGCATTTTTGTAGAAAAAGTAAATAACACAAAGGAACAGAAATTCCTGTAAAGAAATAAAACTTAAAATTAATAGGTGCCAAGTATTACAAGGTCAGATAACAGGTTCTGTAATTTTCTTCTTTATATGTACATGTCTAGGTTTCACAAAATTCCTATGAGCACATATATTACTTTTTTTAAGCTGAGAAAAACAATTACTATAAAATACTGTATTTGAAGGTACTCCCTCTTCTGGATCTTGTATCTCCCCTAGGCAGTTTTTGTGACCTTTGCAATTCCTAGAATGTTCCCGCTGCTAGGAAGTGCCCTTTATGCCATTTGACTTACCACGTAGGGCGTGGGATATCATCTTTCCTTCATTCGTTACTTGGATTTAAAGCCAGTGAAGTCAGCCTCTGTGTCAGCCAGGGTTGAAGAGAAAGAAAATTCCCACCAGGGCATCCTGAAAGCTCTATTTTGCTTTTAGATGAATGATACCATTTCATAAACCTAGGCCGGGATCAGAAGTTAAGTTTTGAACAAAATGAATGCAGTGTTTGAGGAATAACTGTCAGCTTCTGGAAAAGACCTATACTGTTACTCTTCTCTCATTGGAAGAAGTCATATTCTCAGTCTTAGTTTTCTTTCTTGAAAGAAACAATTTAAAAATGGCATTAGTTTGCATTTTGGGTTTTACTTTAGTAAATTTTATTTAAAGGAGAATGCTGCGGTTTCAAATAAAGACAAAAAGCCATGACAATGGTAGAAATGATTAAATGAAGGCAATATAATTATCTTTTACTTTTTCATTTGCCTTTCCAGTTGACACCATCTGAAAGTAATATGTGTGTATTTTTTTTAAGCTAGAAATGATAAGCTAGAAAGGTACTTTCTTAAACTTACATTTCCATAGTCAAAGGCATCCGCCTTTGTTGAAGGAGTGAATTCAGGCACTGATTTGGAATGAGGAACAATGTGTATAAGCCTTTTCCCTGCTCTTCACTTCCCCTGGAGCTCAGAGTTCTGTCCCTTGTGCTTGCACTTTGAGTGCATTTGGGATTTTTTTTTTTTTAAGTTAGAGAAAACATGACTTACAGCTTCTCAGCCTTTTGCCTAAGGTCAAACGTGGAGAAAACAAAACTTCCTCCCCACTCCACCCCCTTGTACTCCCAACAGTAATAAGAATGAAAGCTGGGATTCTCCACCTGTCCCTGGTGAAATTGTGATGCCAGAGTCAGCTTCCCTAAAGGGGAATCTTTTTGCTGAGATTCCTCAGCTAGTTGAACATTACCCCAAAGACCCATCCTTTGATGAGTTTATTTCAAGCATCTGATACTGCTTTTCCACTTGATACTTTACCCATTTGGCATGTAATTCTGAGACTCTTTCTTTGTTTAAAGGGAAATCTATTTTGCTTACTCATTTTTGAATTCATTGTATAGACCCAGAAGTCTATCCACACCTGTAGTTGACCTTTCACTTTGCCATAAAAATATTATCAGTTAATATTTATCGAAGTTTGTTATGTTTTGGGCATTGAGATGAGTAACTTTTATGAATAAGCTCATCTAATTCCCATAATAATACAATGAGTTAGATATTAATATTATCTTTATTTTATAGGTGAGATCATTGAAGCTTAGATAAATAATTTACTCAAGGTCTTACCTCTAAATAAATGAAAGATTCAATCTCTGAGTTCAATTCTTTCTGAGAAAAGAAACAGAGTTCTTAAATATTAAACTATTTGCCCTGAATCTTGACATGGCAGGGAAAGAAAACGATACTTCTTGATAACTCATCTCATGCTAGGCACTGTGACAAATTCTTTTTTTTTTTTGCAGAATCACTAATTTTATTATAAAGTTTCCTCTCCCCACACCTTAGGGGACAATGTATTTTAACTCTGACTTGTTTAAAAGACACAAGGAGGTTAGCATACTTTACAGTTAACACATTTTTTTCATTATAAAAACAGGCTCAGGTCAATGGTCACTCTCTAGTACATGGTTACCAACTGATGGACTGTCCTGTTGGACTGTCCTGTATGTAGATACCTAGGTTCCTGACTTTCTACTACTCGTTACTGTTGGCTGATGTAAAACTTGATTGTGCAACACGCATTTCCCCAAAAATGAACGGGGGATGCAAAGATATAAAATTCAAAGTATTAACAGATGGCTTTGCTACTTTTCATACTTTTGGGAAATGAGATAGTTGGAAGTTAGAGGCTATTAACTAAAATAAAATTAATGAGTAAATTACCTGTGAATTTCATTTACTCACATTAGGACTGACTGGTCTCTCTTTATTGAAGTTTAACTGAAAACAGAATGGACCATGACTGGCAGCTATATATTGGTCATTTCCAAACACTCTGATGACACTCTTCAATAACTTTATTATCTCCAGTTTTATGGTGCCATACTATGTTTTCCACACTGTTTAAATTTTTCTTTTCCATAATCCAAATGCCAAAGAAATTACTACACATTCTCTTACACAGTCTAAAATATATTTACTGGAATGTTTTTAGTTATAGCTGAAGGCAACAGCATTTACAACATTTAGCTTTTGTTACACCTATATATATGAAAATTGCTTGCAAAATAACTGTAATATGAAAAGATATTTTTGAAAATATTGACAGAATGGTTATGCATCTCTTTCAGCGTAATAATTTGGTACTCTCCATAGGCTTCCTGGCCTCCAACATGACCCGCTCCCTAATGCAATAATGCAAGTCCTTATACCATTAAAATACTAGTATGAAACATTAGCATCAGTGTTTATATACACAAATAATGAACTGGCAAGTATCTAGTTTCAAATCAGATCTTTGAAATGTGGAAAAATAGAGGCTAGTTCTCTTTGCCTTAAACATAATTATTAAAAAAACATTTTGTTAGAAGGGGAGAAGATAATTGGACATTCTCAACGTTCCAATTTGAAGTGATACTTGCCTCTTATTTTCTTGAAAAAGAAGTTTTGAAAGTTATATACATAGGTTATATACATAGGTTTCATTTAAATTATGCAGCAATCTTTTATTACTGTCCCAGATCTTGTTTAAGGAAGATTTCTGTCATCAAATCAAGTATGGTATTTCACGACTATAAGAATGATAATCACTAGCAAAAGGTTGGCAGCAACCAAAGCCATGATGGCTTTTATTTTGCATCCACGCCACCATATTTGCCTTCGAAGTTGTTTGGATCTGTTGCTAAAAGCTGTTGCATTATCCGATAAGCTTTCTGATCTGTCCTGTAGTTCATCTAGTCTCTCCCCTCTCTCAATTACCTTTGTAATATTTTCTTGCATGACATCAATAACTTCATCCACCTGATTCTGAACATGTTTAATTTTATCATTTCTAGGTCCAAATCTCGGTCCAGATGGTCCCCTTAGAAAAAAGTCCTCTTCTTCATCTGAATCATCTTCCAAAAGATTTCTCCTTTCACTTTTCACAGAACCTGTGACATCATCATCATTGAGGTGGCGCTTAAACTTGGGAGGCATATTTTTCCCTTGTGAAATGCTTTTCACTTCTCAGCAGAATAGTCGCCGCCTGAGGCTCCCGGGGAACTCCCGGCAGCTCTCCCGGGCGGGCGGTGCTGGACAGGCGGGGGAAGGAGTGGGAAGCGGGGGTAAAAAGCTGGGAGAAGTGGGGGGACGGTGGGTGCGGATCCGGCGTCGGCCGCAGCGTCGCAGCAGCGCCTCCGCTCATCGAGCCGATCGGCACTCGGCGGCCGACAAATTCTTATGTGTAAGTCATTTTATTTAATTCTTGCCAGGTAACAGTATTGCAGTTTTTCAAAATTGGGTTTTTTATTCTGATTATCAAAACAACATATGTTTAAATATGTAAACATTTAGAAGATTCAGAAAAGTGAAGTCAAATAAAAACTACTGGTAATTTTGCCAAGCAACATAAGCTAAAAACTTGGCATATTTCTTACTATTTTTTGTCCTAATCATTTTTCTTTACATACACAAAATCATAAAACATTTACATTTGAGTGTCCTGTTTACATAAACTTTTTTTCATGTAATTAAAACTTAAATATTTTGGCCAGGTGCAGTGGCTCACGCCTGTAGTCCCAGCACTTTGAGACGCTTAGGTGGGTGAATCAGGAGGTCAGGAGTTAAGAGACCAGCCTGGCCAACATGGTGAAATCTCATCAATATTAAAAAAAAATTTGGGTATGGTGGTGAGCACTTGTAATCCCAGATACTCAGGATGCTGAGGCAGGATAATCTCTTGAACCCGGGAGGCAGAAATTACAGTGAGCCGAGATCGTGCCACTGCACTCCAGCCCAGGAGGCAGTGCCATACTCTGCCTCAAACAAAACAAAACGAAAACAAAACTCAAATATTTTTAAGCTGCAAAATGGTGAATGTTACTTTTATAACATTCCCCTAATGTATTTAGGCTATTTTCAGTGTTTTAATCTTAGACTAATGCAGCAAAAATTTTGGGGTTTAATTAATTTTAGAATGTTTCCCTGGAGTAGATTACTTAAAATTCTAAGTTCAAAGGTATGCACGATTTAATGTCCTCAATACATATTGCTAATTCCCTCCCTCCCTGCCTTCATTCCTCCCTTTCCCCCTTCCTCCCTTTCTTCTTTCCTGAGTCTCGCTCTATGGACCCAGGCTGGAGTACAGTGGTGTGATCTTGGCTCACTGCAAGCTCCTCCACCTCCTGTGTTCAAGCAATACTTGTGCCTCAGCCTCCCAAACAGCTGGGACTACAGACACAAGCCACTACCTGACTAATTTTTGTATTTTAAGTAGAGATGGGGCTTCCCCATGTTGTCCAAACTGGTCTTGAACTCCTGACCTCAGGTGATCCACCCACCCTGGCCTCCCAAAGTGCTGGGATTACAGGAGTGAGCCACCATGCCTGGTCTCAAATTACTAAATTTCTTTTCCAAACCTCCCCCCCCCAAAAAAATATATATGTATATCTCTAGATCTATATATAGATGTATATCTATATATAGCTATATATAATATATATATATATATTATATGTTTGAGACAGAGTTTTGCTCTGTCACCGAGGTTGGAGTGCAGTTGCACAATCTTAGCTCACTGCAACCTCTGCCCCAGGGTTCAAGCAATTCTCCTGCCTCAGCCACCAGTATAGCTGACGTAGCTGGGATTACAGGTGCATGCCACCAGATACAGCTAATTTTTGTATTTTTAAATAGAGACGGGGTTTTGTCATGTTGGGCAGGCTGGTCTCAAACTCTTGACTTCAGGTGATTTGCCAGCCTCAGCCTCCCAAAATGTTTGGATTACAGACGTGCGCCACTGTACCGGGCTGCAAATTATATTCTTAAAATACGTGTTGATGAGGATGCCATCATAGAAGAAAAACATTTATATCTCATTTTTAAGGTTACATATTTTGGTCCCCATTATATATATCTTTTATTTATTAGCCATTTGTATTTATCCTTTCTTTTTAAGAGATGAGGTCTTGCCATCTGTCAAAACATACACAAGGAAAAATGGACAGTCTGAATTGGCCTGTATCTATTAAAGAAATTGAGCCAGAATTATTAAAAAGCTTGTGAAGCAGAATACCCCAGGCCCAGATGGATTGACTGGTGAGTTCGACCAAAAATTTGAGCGAGAGCTTATACCAATTTTCTCTACTCTCTTTCAGCGAATAGAAGCACAGGAAATACATCTAACTCATTATGGGAAAAGTATTACCCTAACTCTGAAACCAAGTGAAGACATCATGAGAAAAGAAAACTCAGGCAAACATCTCTCCGGAACATGGATGTAAAAAATTAGCAAATCAAATTCAACAATATATATGAAGAATTATACACTATGAGCAAGTAGGATTTATCTCAGGTATGCAAACCTAGTGTGACAAATGCAAATTCATGCAATCTACCACATAAGTAGGCTAAAAAGGAAAAATTATATGATCATGTCAATAGACGCAGAAAAGACATTTGAAAAACTTCAATACCCATTCATGATAAAACTCAGCAAACTAGGAATAGGCTGGAACTTCCATAACTTGATAAAGAACATCTACAAAATCTGTAGCTAACATAATGCTTGTATTAGTTCATGCTCACTGTTAATAAAGACATACCCAAGACTAGGTAATTTATAAAGGAAAGATGTTTAATTGACTCACGGTTCAGCATGGCTGGGGAGGCCTCAGGGAAACTTACAATCACGGCAGAAGGGGAAGCAAACACGTCCTTCTTCACATGGTGGCAGCAAGGAGAAGTGGAGAGCAAAAGGGTGAAAAGCCCCTTATAAAACCATCAGATCTGATGAGAACTCACTTGCCATCAGGAGAACAGCATGAGGGTAACCATTCCCATGATTAAATTACTTCCCACTGGGAACCTCCTATGATACACAGGGATTATTGGAACTACAATTCAGGATGAGATCTGGGTAGTGAAACAGCCAAACCGTATAATTTCACCTCTGGCTCCTCTCAAATCTCATTTCCTCATATTTCAAACCATAATCATGACCAGTCTATCATTGATGGGCATTTGGGTTGATTCCAAGTCTTTGCTATAGTGAACAGTGCTGCAATAAACATTCGTGTGGATGTGTTTTTACAGTTGAATGATTTATAATTCTTTGGGTATATACCCAGTAATGGAATTGCTGGGTCAAATAGTATTTCTAGTTTTAGATCCTTGAGGAATCACCACACTGGCTTCCACAATGGTTGAGCTAATTTTCACTCCTACCAACAGTGTAAAAGTGTTCCTGTTTCTCCACATCCTCTCCAGCATCTGTTGTTTTCCTGACTTTTTAAATGATTGCCATTCTAAGTGGTGTGAGGTGGTATCTTATTGTAGTTTTGATTTGTATTTCTTTAATGATCACTGATGATGAACATTTTTTCATATGTTTGTTGGCTACATAAAAGTCTTCTTTTGAGAAATGTCTGTTTATATCCTTTGCCCACTTTTTTGATGAGGTTGTTTTTTCTTGTAAATTTGTTTAAGTTCTTTGCAGATTCTGGATATTAGCTCTTTGTCAGCCAGATAGACAGCAAAATATTTCTCCCGTTCTATTGGTTGCCTGTTCACTCTGATAATAGTTTCTTTTGCTGTGCAGAAGCTCTTTAGTTTAATTAGATCCATTTCGTCTATTTTGGCTTTTGTTGCCATTGCTTTTGGTGTTTTAGCTTTTGGTGTTTAAGTCTTTGCCCATGCCTATGTCCTGAATAGTTCTTCCTAGATTTTCTTCTAGGGTTTTTATGGTTTTAGGTCTTACGTTTAAGTCTTCTAATGCACATACCACATTTCTCAAATTAGTCTGTGAATTGATAAATTGATGTCCAGTTATTTATTAGCTGTCTTTTATAGACTTGTGCTTCTAATTCAATAATATAGCATGCATATTTCAATAATGAATAAATATTATTGTTGATTTAAAGCTTCTGAAACAACCTTGTCTGTGTTCAAACTTCTCTGGCACCCATACAACATGACAGTAATTCTCTAATGCCAGGAAGTGTCTTTCTTACCAGAATCATCTAGGGGTGTGAGTTTTTAATGGAAATTTATTTATGGAAATTTATTTATTTATGGATTAACTGATATAATTAGGGATGTGCATTGTGACTGACCTACTAATTGTCTATACTAATATAGTTAAATAGGGAGAATTTATAGACCTTGTGATTCTGACTGAAATGGTAATGTAGGTTATGAAATACTTCAAGCCCACCTCAAGGGCATAAATACCTTTCTCAAGTTTATTAGCTGTACTTAAGTTAAATAAAGATGGTAGGTTAAGACGTGATAATGATTCAGCTCTCTTTTGTTTTGCAAGCTAAAATAGGAAAAAAATTTGCTCTGGAGGAAATATGTAAGATAAAATGCCTAACACCAATTCTCTGCTTGCCTTTCAATTGCGCTATTTTGATAAACATTCTCTATGTTGACTAAGTATTAACATTCAACTTTATTTTCTACTTACAGTACCTCTTACTTCCAATGAAAATGGAAGACTTAACATATAGTTCTGGTTATGTCTGTAGTTTACTAAGGTCCTAGTATGGGTAGGGTCTGAAGTGTTGCACACAAGTTTTAATTATTTTCTATGAAGTAGAACTCAGTCACATGACCACACCTAACTCTAAGGGGGACTTAGAAATGTGATCTACACTTGAAAAAGAGGAAATGGATTTATCGTCCTCACACAATTGATGTCTTAACTTCTGAGTTGACTAACATCTGATCTTTATGTGGAGAAAAAGAGTTGATAAGAAATAAAGATGGGTAGCTCTCTGGATCTCTGGGAATAGGATACTTCTGGATTTAGTGGGCAAGATCTTCAAACTGCCAACTGGGCATCATGGATGAAAATCTGTGGGTCTAGGTTTCTGAGATTAACAAAAAGTTTGGTGTTTATTCTTCAGGGAGAGGATTATCTCTGAAGATGAAACATAGTCAAGCCTGTAGAATGCATGTTAATTGTCCCCATTGCTCCCAGAATTGAGGTCTCCAGAGACACAGCCTCAGAGTCTGGAAGGGATAAGTAATGAAGAGTGGGGAGATCTGTGGCATGTTGTATATCTGAGTAAAATTTGAAAGGGGCCTTTGTGAAGAAAACAACCAAAAGGTGCTTTACTTAGAGGCTGACGATTTGACTCCTGGGCTACATTCTGGATATGGAGTTATGGGCAGGTAGAGCAGTAAATTCTCTGTATCT